TCACTAAAGAATATATTAAAACAAAAACATTTTGCTTATGTTTGTAAGTCTTCAAATGTCATTAAGCATTTTGTAAATTATATTGATATTTTTTTCTCCTTAAATATTTTTTATTGAATTATATTACTTACTGTCACTAAGGTCATTAGGAAATAGTGATACATGAGTTCATTCACACCATATTTACAAGAAATAAAAATAAATTAAACAGAACAACAAAATAATATATAATTTATGTGAGACTGTTTTAATGAGATTTTATTCTTTATAAAAGAATCAAATTGCACGTAGTTACACAAGTACTAATCAATAATAACCATTTTAATCATATGTCATTAGATAACACAAATGATAACACTGAAGGTTGCAACAGTGTACTATAACACACCGTAGCAAACTTACATATATATGTGGGGGGCTGGGGTAGCCGTAGGGGCTAAGGCGCTTGCAATAGGTAATCAAAGTCGAGCGTGGTTAGTACTTGGATGGGTCACCGCCGTATTTGGGTGACCGTCCACCAGGGAAAGCCAAGCTGCCCGAGTCTCTCCCGCCCCCCACCCAGGTATGTGAAACTCTTCAGACTACTGGAGGCAACTCACACAGACCGGGCGTAGGACTGATGACGGCCTACCCCGTGTACTTAATCAGGAATCGGGATGTGGTCTACCAGGATGTTAGTAGCCCCCCTGAGGTTCGGTCCTTGGACGGTCTGTTTCGGGGAAAGAAATATAGGTAGGTCCTCGTGCGCCTGCTGACTCCGAGCAGCCATAATCCATGGATCTAGACCGATATGTCACTGTCCTTGAACCCGGGTGAGTCGGTGGGAAGGACACTGACAGGCTGGCCCCAAATGGATCGGCTATGGAGCTACGCGTGGCCTGCCACTGCACCATGGAGACCATGGTTCGTAGCAACGTGAGGTTGGGTGACCCCCTCCAGACCATCTGAGCTATCGCAAGCAAAATACGTCTGTAAGGATATCAAGATATCAAATCTCGCGGCCAAAGATCTTCATGGTGTGTAGTGCCAATCGAAAATTATATATATATATATATATATATATATATATATATATATCAGTCATATTCTCGGTGCGAATTATTCATATCCGTTGGCATCACGATTTTTCTTACTTCAGGCTAAATACAGAACTGTTAGAAGTTATGTTAGAAATTATAACTAAATTCTAATAAGAGCTGAGACCGATGTTGCTTTCTAAGCGTTACATGTATATTTTACGACAAAAAAGCTTTTTAAATCCTTACTTAAAGGAGTATAGCTAAAAGGTATATACTTTTTGAATAATTATAAAGCGAATTTAATCTGGACAAGATTGAATTTTGTTTTTTTATAAATATTCCTGTAAGGTAACGCATCGTCAATTTGTTAAACATTATTTGAAGGAAATAAAAAATCTAAAATTATTTTCTGAATGGTCATCAAGGTTCCATCATTGAAAAATTTGAACATGATAAGTTATGGTACACAGGATTTCTTATTATGAATATGTGTATAAGAAATATTTTATAATTTTTAAAAATATACAGTTTTTTGTAAATAAATAACGATATGAATATTAGGTACAAATTTAGAAGCCAAGAAACTATTTTCACCATGGTATACAATCAACATCACCCTTCCCCAATATAAGGAGAGTTAAGTATATAATTCTAAATAAATATCAGTCAGTTCACTACTTAATTGACATCATAAATGTACTCTTTTCTCTCAATAACTATTGAACATATTGTGACAGAATATTTTATTACTCAATAAATAAACAAAAAAAAAATTAAGATAATAATAATATATATTATTGAACATAAGATTTCATTAAAATTTTCAACCTCATAAATCCTGCTACAGGTGCTAAATCCTCTTTGTTCCACAACAACGAAAGTCCATCACATTTTTGATGACACGACTGCGTTCACAAATGTTCGTAACTTGGCTTTAGTAGTGAGTTTTTTTCCCGTAAAAAATATAAAGAATATTAATAATATTTTAGATGTATTATAATAGTCCAATACCAATGTATACATGTAACTATTTAGGACTTATGTATAAAGGGTGTCGTTTTAGGTAGAAAGAAATATTTAAAAGGTTTATAGTAGGTATCAAGAGCTACAAAAACGTTTATATAAACAATGGTCCAATTTCAATCAGAAAATTAAGATTAGTATTTTTTTATGCGAATAACGTTTTTTGTTGAATTGGAAGCGATAAGTTAATAAATATTTGATTTAAGTAATTAAACATTGCTCCAGAGTAAACAAGTCAAAATTTACTTTAAATAAAAGTAGGATTTGTCATTGTTAAAACTATTTAAAGAGGAATATCGTGCGGATAGTCCGCAAGCTAAGTTTCGTTTAATAAAAAGTCTAAAATTATTTGTGTGTTTTTCTTATCACTCTTCAACTGTACTACATTTACCCCAAATTTAGAAAAAACTTCCTTGTTTAACAAGCTTTAAGTCCATATTAATTTAGTTGAAGATAATCAGGAAACATTTTAAATCCACCTCAAGATATGTAAACAAATTTTGTGATTTCCTATCCAGTCACATTAAAGTAGCTGTGTTTTATGCAAAAATAAATACAATTAACTGTTGAAAAGCTTTTATTTCTTGTTTTTCCATCATATGAGAAGTAATGAAATAAACATAATTACCTAAAAACACATTTTATATATAAAAATTAAAAATAATGATTTTTATGAAATTGCGTTTTTCTCGCAGATTTCTGTCATAATAACTGATACGTATTTATAAATGGCAAATTTAATTTTTATATCTCTAATATTTACGTTTTCATGAAAATAATTTAAGCAATCGTTAGGTTTCTTTATTTCAAACATATATTTTAGTAACAAACATTAAGTCTGTCACTGATAAATACATGTCAATTCCTATGATCGAGATCTGTGGTGAAGAAAAGAGGGTTTAGCCCAAGTAGCAGGATTTATGGGGTTGCAAATTTTAATGAAACCTTAGGTTAAACAAAATATATTATTAAATAATCAAAAACACAAATCTCAATTTTTATACTTTTCTACTGGTAATCATAGAATGCAACAAACAAATGTGAGAAAAGTATTCAATAAAATCATAATATAGGTCTTGCAGAAACTGCATTTTGGCAGTACTTCAATAACTACACTAGCATAAATCAAAAGGTCTCTTAACCATCCTCTTTTTACATCGGAGGGTAACAAGAATGGATTAGACTGAAAATTTACGAAATAATAGATTAATGTGAGTAAGAGTCAAAAATATTTAATTATTATTTTAATGGTGCGTCTCACTTACAGTATAACTGTAATACATAATTACATAATTTATTTTAATTTAGGGGTCCTAAATAGTTGTCATAGACTTTAGGGTATATGGCATATGGATATGCATTGATCCACCATTATGGGTTTCATAGTTTTCCAACAATGTTCAGATGTTTATTTATCAATTATATTTACATTTTAATATTTGAAGTGCTAGAATGAAGTTTAATGGATGAATTAATGAATATTTCATGTATAAATAAAACTGAATGCATGCAACCTTCAATTCTACATTTGAAGTAAAATATTCTTGGCAATATGTATGTACATAGATCATTCAATTGTTCTATTGTATTAATATTTCGAATTAATCAATTTTTTAACATTTTATAAAGACATCATGATGGGCTAGATCAGTCTGTATTTTAAAAGATGAGGTTACAACGCATTTCTCAACAAGCAAGACTAAACATGTTTGCCATGTAATATGTAAATACGAGCTGGTATTGGACAGATAGTAATATTGTTGGTTACAAGTTTTTGATGTATAAATAATAACGTGTAACTTAATTAATTCTTAGGTTTGTTTTAGTTTATTTATATTATTTGTATTAACTTATTTTGTTATTTAATACCATTGTAACTTCAACAAATAATTAAATGCAGTTGCTTATAAACCAAGTCAAAAATATAATAATTTACATATTACAATAATCATATGCAAAAAGCTATAAGAAATGAGATATCTTCAAACATAAAGCATATATTATAAATCTTTAAAGATTAAGACATGCAAAACAAAAAAAAAAAAAGTACATAGACTGCCAAAACTCTCTGAAAACACTCAAAACACTCTGAAAGCATATGGAGACATCCGATCTCCAATATTTCTACGAAATAAATATAAAGAAAAGTGTGCACCGACTAATCCATAATTTTAGATTATATTATGTGCCGAATATACCAAATGCAATTATCACGATCTATGTACATTGTATTATGTTTTGTATTATTTAGCACAATAACTATGAATAACAATTAATAATAATACTATAAGTGTTATAATGGTTGTAATACAGAGAATGACCATATTTGTATAGCGTTCATTCCATAAAACATATAAAAAATTATGGATTGATTAAACAATAACTAAAACAATCATTCTCATTGTAAATCATATTATTAATATATAATTTGAAATTGTAAGATGACTTGAGTATTTTTATTTTAAATGTACAATCAATAAAATGTTTCATATTAATTGCCAGTGAAAATTGAACACACTATTTTTTTTAAATGCAAAATCAGTGTATATTGAAGTTCCAGAGCCCATTATCATTATTTTTTTCTTAATATTTTACGTTATGGACATTTCTGAAAATCTATAAATCCATTGGTTTACTTAATAAAAACAGTAATAATCATTAAAAATATTTTATTGATATATACATTGATTTATATTAAAATAAGTGACATTTTTTAAATATATATATTAAAAAAAATATTGAAACATCCATTTACAGGATGATTAGACTAGATTTAAAAATTAATGTATTGACAGTTCACAGGTTGGTAATAAGAAAACAAATTTTAAAGATAAATAACACAAGAAAGTGAAATATTAAAAAATATATCATGAAAATAGATCTAAATGATTAAACCTATCTATTGATTTGAGCGTGGTCACTTTAACATTAAAATAATGAAATTATTTCTGAAAGGCATTAGTGGAGATGATGACCACCATAGGAAGGCAGCTCGTGTCCTCCAAAATTGTGCTCCACCTTGGGTACGTAGTAGGGAACTGGTACCTTAACGTACTCTGGCACTTTTACCTCATAGGGGACTTTCTTCTCAACGTAGTAAGGGACCTTCTTCTCAACTGAAACTGGGTACGGCTTAGGAACGTAGACTGGGTATGGCTTATCAACAGGTACTTTGACGTGGACGGGGATCTTCTTTTCCACTACGTATGGAACCTTCTTCTCTACGGTGTAAGGCACGTGATAAGGACGGGGAATCTCGACGATCTCCTTGACGGGGTATGGCACCGGCTTCTCCACGGGATAGGGTACCTTCTTCTCGACAACGTACGGCACTGGCTTCTCGACGTGATATGGAACTGGGTTGTCAACGGGCACTTTTACTGGTACTGGTACTTGTTTGTAAACGGGATAAGGTTGTGGCACTGGAACTTTGACTGGGTAAGGTATCTTTTTCTCGACTGTCACTGGATACGGCTGGGGTACATGGACAGGCACTGGTCGGTCAACATTAACATGAACTGGGTACGGTACATGCTTTTCGACTTCAACTGGAACAGGGTATGGTACCTCTTTTGTTATTACTTCTGTTTTGACATCGTGTCCGAAATCAGAACCGCCACCATAGTTCCCAAAGTCGAACAGACCTCTCTTGTCTTGTTTCTTCTCATCCTTCTTTTCCGTCTTCTTCTCTTCAGCCATGACCAGGCAGGCCACCAACATTAGCACTAGAACACTACTCCTCATCTTGGACAATGCAGAGAAACTACTGACTGTTCCAGCATCCGTACCTATCTTTTATAGTTGCAGTTTCCGTGAGGTCAGTGGCTAGCGTTGCGCAAACAGCGGAGACAAGCTCTGTAGACTTCTAGATGCAATGTCCTGCAACCGAGTTTAATTAAGGTTTATTTAGTTTGAGTTTACCAAATCTATCAAATAATGAATTTACTTTAGTACTGTTTAAGTATGAATGAGTTTTGATGAATTTTATATTATCTCAAGCATTAAATTTTTTTTTCTTTTGTAATAATTTTCTTTTTGTGTGTGTGTGTGTTATTGTATATGTGTTGTAAATGAGTTTCACATAGCTCTAATATTCAATGTCCTTGGCAAAATGGATTTTTTTTAGTTAAAAAAAACTAATAAAAAAACTTTAGTACTGTTAGTGTTCATTATGTTTAATAAAAAATGAAAGTTTAACAAACCTCTATTGAAACTAATTTTTAAAATATCTTCTATATGTCAATTACATTCTAATGTTACAATTGACAAGTTATGAATTTAATTCGGGCATGAAAATCAATAATTGAATAAATGATAGTTGAATTAAATAAACAAATATCCTCTCTATATATACATATATAATAAACAAATATCCTCTCAATAAATATATATATATATATATATATATTGAGAATATAAATATAAAATATATATATATATTTGTTTATTTAATTCAACTATCATTTGTTTATTAACATAATAGTCACTTTTTTAGTTAGTTCAGCGAAGAATGTTAGCTAGCAAAAGCCTGAAATATCTATTCATAAAGAAATTTAATTTAATAATAAAAATCAACTTATGAATTATTTTTAATATCTTTAGTTGTATGACATATATTTATTCCGAGATCGTAATCTTTTTACTTTCAATTATCGAAATTTTTTCGAAAAAATATTTCCTATATAACATTTGATTTTACTTAGCACAATTAACTTTAAATGAATCTTAACTGATATTAAATCTTCAGTTTTCTTAGGATTACATTATGTTGTTTATTAATTTATAAAATATTTTCTAGCAGAGAACTTTTCATATTACATTATTTCAATTTTCACTCGTCTTGCTAAATGATCTCCCCTTGGTTCCGACTTCTTTGTTCGGACACCCGCCACTCTCAAATAGCTGTACATCGGCAATCAGATGTGTGTCGACACCCGCATGGTCTAGAGATATTTAACCAAGAGGAAGACACCAACAAAGTAAATATATGTTAGAGCTCTTGGGCAAATAAGGGTTAGCCTGCATGCTGCTGGCTTTCATCTTGTGTCTAAGGGGTCCGGTAGCCTTCCGTCTTTGAGGGAACTGGGCATGTAACAAGGCATTGCAAATGTATTGTGAAAACTTACAACATTATTGCTTTGTATCATTTGGTTTTTTTAACGATTAAAGTTTAAAATATAAATCCGCATTTAAAGTAACTAATTTACCAGTTTGTATTTTGATTCAAAATATATTTTTGTGGACATCTTCCCAACATTCTGGACATCTTCTCGAATCGTTATTGGCTTCTTTTACTTTGAATATTATTTTCATTGCTAGTAAATGTGTTAATCATTCATCAAGGAATCAAGATAAACATACTTTGGAGCAAAGACCGACTTTGGAGCCGATGTATCGGCATACCTCAGGACCTTATTTTATTGAGATTGGTAGAGTTAGAATTTTTTATTTCTGACTCTTGCCTTTTCCTAATTTGGTCAGATACCAATATACCAAAGAACAATATATCGGCCTCACAACCATTTTATTGAGATTCAAAGAGTTTCATTTAAAATATTATTTTTATTACCAATAAAAATAAAAAAGTTCGTAAGGTCGAATATATCGGTTAAGGTCATTGAGTCGGAATTTTAGTATCTACTCAAATTAGAGAATACTCAGGACCAAAAAAATAAATAAATAAATAATCAAACTCTACCAATCTGGTTAAAATAAGTTCTTAATGCCGATTAGCCAGTATTTGTAATATCGCTATCTTCTCAAATGAGTGGACGGGATCAATAATAAAAATAAATAATATGGTAAAACTCTTCCAATTTCGATAGAAAGAAGTCATCAGGCCGAATATAGGTTTTCGGAATATCGATATCTTCTCAAATTTATGTTTATGGCTCTGGTCATATTTATGTTTATGTTGATCCCTTGACGAACGAGTGACACATTTATGAACAATAAAAATAATGTTCAATGTGAAAGAGACCGATATATCGGTTTAAACGGATAACCAGAAAATTGTGTAGTGGTGCACACAAAAAAAATGTATTTATTTTTTTTTATTTATTTATTTATTTATATGATATTTACAACTGTATACGAAAAATACATCTAGTAAATTCGCACGTGGATATAATGACATGAAACATATGTTGAGAAACTACCAATTGGTAGCACTCTTATAATATGTCTATATTAGGAGATCACGTGGCCATCTTCTTTTCAGACCCCTCGGAGGGTTATCAGAAATTGAATAGCAAGCAAGGTTAGAAACAAGAGGGTTGGGATGGTTATGAAGTTTATTATGGAAGGACAGATACCTGGATTGGGCCAAATCTGATACATAAGGAATTAATAATAATGTCAGGTCATTATGGATGATTTTATTTGTAACAAAGTAAGCAGCATTGAGGGCTTTACGAAGGTCTTTGGATTGTAAGGATTAGAGACGAGAGGAATTTGAAGATTTGGTGGAGCCCCATAGCTCAACTCCGTAAGTCCAAATAATAATAATAAAAAGGCTTAGCGAACCCAAAGGTTCGATGCCGACACCACCAATCGCTTATTACACACCTCCCTCCACCGTTCGTCGTCCAAACCCAGTCCCTTCAGATCAGCTTTAATGCAATCTTCCCACCTTCGCTTCGGTTTACCCTTCGGACGCTTACCATTCGGCACAGCAAATATTAACCTGTTAGGAATTCTCTCGTTTTACTAAGTCCAACAACTTTACAAGCCCATTTGATTCGCCGCGATGAAATTATCTCAATTATATTACTCGGATATAGTTCACGCGATTCGGCGTTGTGTAACCGTCTGAACTCTCCGGTTAACTCATCCTTCTTCGGTCCGAATATTCTACGCAATACTTTATTTTCAAAAACCTTAAGACGCTGCTCATCCCTGAATGTAAGCGGCCAAGTTTCGAACCCATAAAGAACTGTAGGGAAGATAATTGTTTTATAGATTCTAATTTTTAAGTTTCAGGACAAAAGGCGCGAACTAAGTAGTTTTGTCACAGAAAAATAACAAGCATTTCCCACCTTCAGTCTAACCTTAATTTCTTCTTCAATTTCGTTTTTTCTAGTTATCGTAGAACCTAGATACCTAAACTTATCTACCTGATCAAACATATTACCATCTATAACGATATCACCAGTAGTATCGCTATTTTTGCAGCTAACCATATATTCTGTTTTATCCACGTTTATTTCGAGTCCTAGTTCTTTACCGGCTTTCATTAACGTTGTCGTATTTAGTTTTATAGTTTCAAGGTCTTCGCTTAACAGTACCAGATCATCCGCATAGCCCAGCACGGATGTTGTGTCAAGCTGTTTCTTGTCGTTTCAGTCTGGTATGAGGATTCCAAGTTAGACGTTTGTCCAGATGGAGTCCTAGGTAATGGATTTGTTCAACAGGAATAAGTGAGGTGTTGTTAAAGGATACTGAAGGACAGGAAGTCCTTGGTTTACGACAAAGGGTGAAGGTAATTTGATGGGATTTATTGGAATTTATTTTAATTCTAAAATTCTGGCACCGTTCTTCAAGGTTTATGTAACCTTGAATTTGGGATTGAAGGGTTTGGGATACAATCGATGGATCGTTATTAACTAATAGGATACCTGTGTCATCGGCATATGTGGTGATGACAGTGTTGGGACATTTAGGGATGTCAGCTGTATAAACTGTATACAGGATAGTACCTAGGATACTACCTTGAGGAACACCAGCGGACTGGGAAAAAAGGGATGAATAGGCGTTATTGTGATTTACTTTAAAGTGTCTATCAGTAAGGTAGGAACGGATAATGAGGAAGTATGTAGGCGGTAGGAATTTTCGGAGTTTGTACAGCAGTCCTAGATGCCAAACTCTATCAAATACCTGTTCAACGTCGAGAAAGACTCCTGTACAGTACGTTCCGCGCTCCAATGCAGAGGATACTACGTCTCCACACGATGGCATTGCTGTATAGTGGAATGGGAGGAGCGGAATCCAAATTGGTGATCTGGGATTATGAGATTAGAATTTAGGGTAGGGTACAGGCGTTTTAAGATTAGTTTTTCCAGGATTTTTCCCATGATGGGTAAAAGAGAGATGGGGCGGTAAGAGGATAGATATTCTAGTGGCTTTTTGGGTTTGTGGATCATTTTGACAATAGTTATTTTCCAAGGATCAGGGAAATACAAAAAAAAAAAAAAAAAAAAAAAGGCAAATAAATAAAACCATTAGAAATCAAAATTTACTAATCTGGATAAAATAAGGTCGTGCGGCCGATATATCGGTATTAGCTCAAATTAGGGGAAGAGGGTGGCCAGAAAAAGGAAATTAAACAAAAGTTGGTCCGACGCTACCAATCCAATTTCATTAACATTTGATCAGAAGGCCGATATATCTATCTTTAATAGGACGAGCAAAAAATAAATAAATAAACAATACTCAGTCAAACTCTACTAACCTTAATAACATAAGGTCATAATGTAGATATTTCGGTTTTTAATATATCCGTATATCCTGAAAATCTGAGATTAGCCCCAAAAAACAGTGTAGGGTGCAGTATCGCTCACGAAAAGAAAACATATGCAAACTTCCCAAAATAAGATCTCAAGAAATACAATAGATGCTCCTTGGTTGTAAAAAAACGGTCAAAATCATTTCATATTATATTCTGTTTTTATTTTTTCCTTGATATTTATTTATTGCATTATTATTCATTTATTTTATAAATTTTACTAATCTATCGTTATCTTTTG